TTAAAGCATGGAGCTCCAATACAGACAACGGAAAACCGTTCGTAAATGAAATTTTTGAGAAAATGTGTACGAGTCAAGCCATAAAACACTTTAAAATGTTCCCGTATCGACCAGAATCGAATATTGTAGAGCGTATAAAAATAAATACAGTTAAAATTATCTGCAACTATGAAAGAAATCACCACCAACGCTTAGGTAGCTGAGTTAATGAGTTGGCATTTGTATAGAAAATGCGAAACACTATACAACTGGAAAGACACCGGCTGAGAAGTTGACCAGCGGAAGATAAAGTTTTAAGAATTAATCATTCTCGTTCGTGTGTACCAGAGCAAAGGTGGGAAAAGTTTTCATAAGTTTGAAGACTCCTTTGTTATTGAGAGAATTAGAGAAACAGTGATGTTTTTGGAAGGACAAAATGGTGAATTACCAAAAGCAAATGTGGACCAAATAAAACATTACTACAAGCTGGCAGATATGCCATAGTTACTAGTGGTATTGCGGGAAACATCTGGCTTGAACAACGAATGTTCATCCCAGAATGCGATGGATCCAGCGTCGACGTCCATAGTTTAGGATGCAAAGGAAAAAAAGTATTCCAGAAAATGTGAGAAATAAAAGAGAAGGCCAGGTTCGAGGAGGCGTGTAAAAGCAAAGCTACAGAGAACGGGTGGCCAAGAAGAAGAAAGAGAACAAGGAATTTATTCAAGCGTCAAAGAAAATTGCAAAGATTCCTGAGATATGGCGACCACCCGAATGCTACACAACATCATTTGGAAGGAAAGCAAAAAATAGTAACGTTAAAGCAGATCAGCAAATGTCTTGCAGCAACTAAAATGGCCAACCAGCCAAACGGATATCTACGCTTCAGGAGGAATCAATTCAGCATCCGAAATTCAAGAAGGTGAGCGAGAAGAAATCTTTGACAGCAGATAATCTACGAAGAAAGGAACGCATGAGAGAAACAGCCAGTTCCCGCTGAATTTCCGAAAATCTGTAAGAATGGAATGATCGTTAATGGGAAGAGAAACGCCCGTACGAGAAAGAAAGTCAGAAGTTTAAGGATGAGTCAGGTCAACATGTTTCCTGCCTGGAAAGAGTTTCTTCAAAAATGTATAATAGAATTCCACAGGAGCAAGAGATAAGTGGAAATTTACTTTATTTCCTTAAGTATTCAGTTATGTCTTATGCAAAAGTTGCTACTGTATGTTGGACCTTTGCCTCAAGCGAGGTCACTTAGTTTTATTCAGCAAAGAAGCTTTTTAATTTATCTATGCATCATCTTGAAAGATTTTTTTTTTTTTTTTTTTTTCTAAACACGATTGCGTTGCTTTAGTCCAAAGGACTAAAGTAAGTAGAAATTTTGACCTTTTTTGCAAAATAAATATCGGCAACTACTGTATACATGATGTAAAATTTAAAATGACTAATCTTTCGAATCTTAGTATGTGAATGAACGTTAATGTTTTATATGCATGCGTTTTGAGTTAAAATATCGTAAAAGTTAAAACTGTGTTGGTGATGTGCATTGTAAATGTAAAGTAAATCTAGCAAATAATATTGAACTGATTTAAAACGAAAATGAACATAGCATGAATGAGGTTAGTTAAAAGTTAGGTTTTCCACCCAACACTTATAGAGCTTAATCAAATTTAGGCTCAGAACATTAGGTACAGATTCTTGAAATAGGGTGTCCTTGAGGTTTACCATGTCTAAACTATTAATATGGTATATTAATATTGTTCTAACTAATTATGTTTAGTTTAAGAAACTTTCATTTCGCTTCTAATCTCAATTTCCAGCTAGAATGCAAATTTAAAAGAGTTCGGAAACAGTATTTAAGTCGCAAATTTTAAGAGTTCGAGGTGTAGGAGAGTTAGGGGGTTGCGTGTCTGAAAGCAACTTTGTAGTCGAATAGTTAGTGCTAGCCACTTACTTTAGATTATATTGATATACTAGGGTCGGCTTTGCTGTGTGCAACCGATTAAGCGGTTGAGATAAAGTAGGAGTCAGTCGTGTAGCTAACTTATTAATTATTTTATTTAATTTATTGTGATTGTACATACTACTTTCTGTTAAAGTTACTTTTCCACAATTGGTGGTTAATCTATGAGCGCCGAGTGAGTGCATTTTCTGTTCCGTTTAGTTAAAATAAAAAGATTATCATATCCTTCGTTTTTAGTCATCTGTTCTTTCAAGAGCTAGCGAGAATTCCCTACTTCATCTTTTCAGTAGGTCTATAGCGTATGCTCCCAAAACACACAAGACGACTCTACAGGTAATTGTTGGAAGAACTGCATATTTATATACATTTTCCCCACCCATTAAAACGCTGGGGAGCGGATGTGAGAAAACTGAATTTAGAGAAGAAGCAAAGTATTAAAAGTTATATGAAATCGTGATTGGTAACCTGAATAGCGTAAATTCTAATATTTCATTGGCTAAACTATTTTTCTTTGAAGATATAAGGTGAATGATGGTATGAAATTGTCCAAAAATTTCGAAATTTTTGTAACAACGTGGATTTTACTTTAACGTTTTAATTAAATGACTAATAAAGGCTGTCTCATAGAACTTGAAATCTTATCCAACGTCTTTAGAGATCTTAGTTTGCGATTATTTACATTCTGGTGTGCAAAATGTAAGGTTTATATTAAACTAAACAGTTATTATGATTTTGATCTTTACTTTAACTTCTTCTTTACGTATTCCTCACCAGAATGCAAATTAGTTTTTAGTGTATTTAAGCTGAGAGTTTTGAATCTTACAAAGAGAGCATCTTACATTACAGAGACAGCAATTACATTGGCGTAGTACTATTAGAATTTTGCCAACTCCGTCTAAAAATAATTATTTTGGCTTTGCATTACTCTCACAGTTGATATTTTAAACTTATGTGTCGGTAAAATATTCAGCCAGCTTATAGCGTAGATATTTGACTGTTATTGTTTAATTTACTTTGCTACGAGTAGTGGTTCTTGTGTCGCACAAGTCGTGTCTTTTGTGTTACAAGTCGAAGATTCAATAAAAAGGGGTTATTTAAAATCTTCTTAAATACTTTTCATACTGTTTTAGACGTAGCGAGAACTCGATAACTTGTCTAATAGGGTTGTAGGGCTTAAATTCAGTTTCCAGGTCAATTACAACCTTAAAGAGTCATTAGATTCATTAGTCATTAGTGGAGCTGATTTAATCACCAACAAAAGTGGATCAATGATGCACTGCAGTAGAAATAATTGTAGAAGAACGACTGTGTATACAAACAATTTCAGACCGGCAAAAAAAAAAAAAAAAAAAAAAAAAAAAAAAAAAATTACCAGAAAAATTCCAGCACGATTCATGACCGATAATTCTACAAAAGTTCAAAAAGAGAATTACTACATGAATACAGAAGGAGAATTAGTACTCTTTGCGAGATGACGTGAGCATGATTGCTTACGTCGGTAATGAAACATCAGTTAATTATATGCCCATATGGCAATAAAAGTTTCACTAATAATCAGAGAATCTCATGTTGATAATGATAGTAACGCTTAAGCTGAGTATCATATTATCGATGCCATTTCCAGTCCGTCTTTACCCTCAGCTTTTAATGAAATCATTAAGCTTTTTAATAGATTTTTCATCGACAGATGGCGACTGTAGCTTGATTTTCTCTCCCTGTGATCGCCTGAGCACAAGCTTCTCTTTCGTCATTTGCCCTTTTGCAGCTGAAGAGGATATTTAAGTCTTCGAAACTAGTTCTACAAATTTATTAATATTATGCTAATTCTTGTTCCCTTAGCATCTCCAATAATGCTTTAGATGTTTATAAATATTACTTAGCTGTGTTATGAATAAAAGATATTTTAAAAGATTTCAGTTAGGTACAGGGTGTCTATAATTAAAGAACCCTATTTCAATGCTGCTTACAAGAGAAACCAGTGATTAGAAAATTGTGAAATTTTGTGGCGGTCTTAATGAAGAGATGAGAATGTCTTTCAGGGAAAAACAAATAGTTACAAATAGCGTCATCAGAGGGAGTTTTACTTTGGAAACATGTAGTAGAAATGTGAATTTTTGTCGACATCATGCAGCAGCTGTTCTAAAACCTAGAAACATTCGAGGAGACGTTTTTTTCAATGTGCATGTTGCTCACAATGACGATATGTTTACGAGATCACACTTTGCTAGTAAAACCGATTTAGCAAAAGAGTTGGTACTTTCGTAATGTGTGGGCCTTCCGATCCCAAGAACCCAATTAATGCGATTTTTGTCTTTGGGGACATTTGAAACATCTGATAAGTCGTGACAATCGAAGAACTTTACCTGAACTTAAAGCCAGCTTTCGGTTCATGTGTGTGGTCGGAAGCCATCATAGCGGGACACTCACTCACTCCACGTGCTGATCATTTCCCAGCACAAACTTCGGTCAATTGTGGAACATGCCATCTTGCGATTTCAAATGGTAGCTGAAAATCATTGCCATCCCGTGGAACATAGTTTTTTGTAAAATTGTAAAAGTATTGTAAGGGTGTGGCTAAATGTATAATTTATTAATATACTGTGGTGACATTATTTGTAACTAATTTATTTTTTCGCTAAAAGGTATTTCATTCCTTCATTAAGACCGCCACAAAATTTCACAATTTTCTGATGAATGGTTTCGAGCATAGGCAGTTTTGAAATAGGATTCTTTATTTATAGATACCCTGTATTATATTAAAAATAAAATAAAAAATTTTAATTATTAAGAAATGCTTTTATTACTCTCAAATCTTTCAGTTTGATAAGTAGCTATAAACAAAAGATAAATTAAAGGTACGTGATAAAATAAACAGAAACAAGAATGATAAATACGTAGATGCGTAAAGCTATATAATTCAGAAATTTTGGAACTGCAACATCTTTTCTGACGGGAGGAGAGGAAAAAAAGTGTTTGTTGAATATTTTACATGTCTTTTAACCATAACCTTCTCTTTGCGTTGCAAGTGTGATATTTTGCCCCTCTTTTGTAATTGCAGGAAATGAATTCCAGACGAAGACAAAAAAATTCTGGACATTTGAAAGGCAGAGAGATGAAATAATGAAAATGTTTATTTTTCCTGAGTATGTTAACACAGATGAAGAATTAACGACATATGAAGAACTTAACAATGCGGAAATTGTCGCAGATGTGAAAGGAAACGAGTGCGAGAGAATAAAGAGAATGATTTTGAAACCGAGGAAGAACCGTTTTTAATGAGCATAAATGTCAACAATGCGTTTTATGTTACCCATCATTATACTAAAAGCTGTAGGCATGTACTCTTTGAATGTGTATGCTTCGTGCATTATACAGATTAACTTATTTCTGAAGGCGTTTCAAGCGTGCCAAAAATACTATAAAAAAATGTCTGAAAGATTTTAGATTTTATAGGGTCATTTTTTTAACGTTTTATGTGTTACCTTTATTTATTAAATATCATGTTCTTCGGCGCAAAAATCAATTAAGCAATATCACAAAATAATTAAAAAAATAGCAATCTTTAGAATTTCGAACACATCTCACGCCTGGGATATTTTTTTTTTTTTTCCGTACAGTGTTTCGCTTTGAATCGGAGTTCCTAATCAAAAACTCATAAATGCTTTACAAAATATGAAAAAATAAAACAAATTCCAAATTTGGGATTCCAGATGGCCATATTCGGGTGGAGACGTACGTTATTCAAAATTGGATAGCTCTCAGAAGTGGATGGAAGGTACCGTGGTTTTATCAGAATGTGAGAACCATACATACATTTACGCAGGCTCTTCATCATTTAATTTCTTTAAATATAATACAGGGCAATAATATTTGGTGGCAACAATTTGTAAATTAAAACGCCGTTCATAGTGAAACGCCGCAAAATGCCATAACGAAATTAATAGCCCTTCTGAGCCAACGAACTTTGAGCTAAAAATGGGATCGTAATTTAAGAAATTTATACTATAACTTGAAAAGTAATCAGGTTATAATGATAAATGCTACTTCATTTATCAATTAATGTGTTAAGTTATTGTCTATGTAAATTTTAGGTTAATTCTTACAGATTATGTTATTCTAAACTGATATGAATTCAGACTAATACAATATTTTAGAGAGAAAGTAAGACAGAGACAATTCGCACATTTTTAGACGATTTTGCTCTGCTGTAAAAATAAATCTGCTTGGAATGTTTTTTAACTTCAACTATACTTTTGAAGGTATAAATTATCATTTGTACTTGACAGTTTTGTTTTCATGCAAAACGCCGCTTTTAAAGAAGCAATGAATGGTTGTGCTCTTTCCGAAAAACATTATTTGCATCTAGTTATTAAAAAGTTCTGAAAGCCATGGTTTTTCGATAGTTAAAACTATGTTAGGTAATGTTGTCAATAACAAAGGGAAAAACATCAATTTAGCTTGTGAAAAAATTGCTTTAAATACGAATCAAAAGAAAAAAAAATGGAATGTTTCGAATATTGCAAAGGTAAGCAAAGGTCATCTTTGATGTTGAAAGAAAATCTACCAACTCAGAGAACAGTTGCAAAATCATTAAAATGCTCAGAGTCAACTATAAACAAAGTGATTAATTCTGATTTGAATCTAAAAAAAGGCGAAAAAACATAATGTGCATCAGCTTTCTCAACAGCCTATCACCGAATGTAGAACGAGATGCAGAATTCTTTGTGAGAAGCATTTATCTTGTTAAAAATGCAAAAATGTTGTCACAATAGATGAATCTTGAGTGTATTGAAATGACTGCAATAAAACGAGATCTCTTTATTATCATCAAAGAAGATGAAAAATTTCAAAGCATGGTTCAAGGAATCTAAAGAACGTTTTTCTAAGGGATTTATGATTGTTGTCGGTTTCTCATATAGCGGTAAATTAAAAACAAGGAGAGTGAAGAAAATTGTTAAGATCAACTCCACATATTATCAAAAACATATCTACTATCCAGTTTTCTACATACAGGGTGATGAACCAGTAGAACTGCATTATGCAGCGACACGGCGAAGCCTACTATGAATTTTGTAAATAAAACGGAACAAGAAACGGATATCAAAGCCATAATCTTTCATTCATATTTCTACTAAATCTCCTGACTTATCACCAAAGTATTTTTGTGTTTTAGACTTTTACAAAAGGGATTCTCCAAAGGTCGACCTACAACCTCCTTAGACTTGGAAAGCTGTTCGTGAGCAACGGGATAAAATATATACCTTTTCCGATACTACAAAAGGTTTTTATTGTCTTGGAAATTATGGTGTATAAGAACAGTGAAGAAAAAGGGCTATCAACTATAACATTTAAAACATAAAATTTTAGGTAAAATATTTCTGGAATTACAATGAAAATCGTCTAAAAATGTGCCAACACCCTCTGTACTATGCATTAACTTAATAAGAAGGGGATTTTTCTCTTGGTTTTTGCCATAACTCTTACTGCGAGAACCACAAATACTATTTTTCCCTTTTCACAGACTTCAAGAATTGCTGAGGTTATTGAAACAAAGCAAAGCATGCGATAGCATTTATATATTTCCGACTCGGCTTTCATCAAGATCTGCTTAGATTCATCAAAGGTAAGTGAGTGACACAAAGATAAGTGAAAGGGGATTAAAAAGTCATTAAAGTCGAGAGACTCGTACCTCCTATTGCCTGCTATCAAGTACTTGAAAGGACTTTCGGAGACAACAGTTTTAAGCACCAGCTTCGAACTCAAATCCACTAGTGCAGTAATGTGCAAAAAACGCTGCTATCCGGGCGAATTTAAGCTACTGAGAGTTTAATGTTGTAAGTACAGACGGTGTTTAAACACTTTTTGAATGATTTCGATGAAGAAATAAAGAAAAGAAAATGCTTTGGAATAAAAAATTTTGGACTAAAGCTTATTATTTGAAATGAGGAATATCGTCTGCTACTTTTAAATTTATTTTTCTTTCAAAATGTTGCATGTTAACAAGTTGTGGATTGAAGGGTATGCTTTTGGGCTTTTTGCATTTAATTTTTAGTTGCATACAAATTTAAATATTACACTTTTCAATTTGTGTAGGATTCTTGATGAATTTCTAAAAAATACTATCTCATGTTTAAAATCTATTATCTAACGTTTTGTCGCATAAGAGTCAAACTGTCTCGTCCAAATATGAATATTTGACTTATTTAAAACATTTAGGTCGCACTCCTCTTTGAAAAATCAATGAAGAGGGGTTAACTTTAGCAGAAATATAATTTGTTGTTGTGTATAAAATTTGCCAGGTGTGTAATTAAACTAAGCTTAGAATGCAATAATGCGTAGTGACAATCAAAATTCGGAATGAAAAGAAAATATTTACTGCAAATTTATACTAACGACTTACTCGTATTTTCGATTTTAAACGGAACGGTCATTATAAACAATTTTTAACTACATTTTCCGCTGCAATTTGTACTGTTCAATATCGTCTTTTGTAAAAATTGTCAATTATTCCAAGTTCGCTTAAGGTTAAAATATAGTTTTCCGTATGAAAACATTGGCTCTAAAGAAAAAGAATGTCTGTATTATTGAAGGATGATTTGAGGAATTTATTTATTACGATAAGAAATATTGGGATAACGTTTGATGTTCGCAGAAAGCGTCTTTCTCCTCGCTTTCCGTTTTTCGCGTCAATGCCTCGGTGTAAATGCCTTAAGCTAAGATACATAATATTTAAGATAAAAGTACTGGGTCTTCATTTGAAAGTATAACTTTTGTGTCTTTTACTGAAATATTTATTTGGTAATATTTGTGAAGGAAATAAACAATGAAATACGGTAGTTTGTTATAACACCAAAATAGCAAAATATCGCCAATAATGCTCAAATTTCGCCAGATATAACTAAAGATTAATTTAATGTTAAAAATTTTAACAATAAAGATTCTGTTATCTAGCTAAATCCTTAAATGTAGTTTTTTAGTAAGACGAAAATTAATTCAATTTATTTTTATTAACACCTATATTATGATTTACCATTGGCAACACTTATTTTTATCCTGCTAAAGATGTCGCCACCAAGTTTAAAGGTAATCAAAAGACTTTTGATCATAAGAAAAGAAATATGGTTCGCTAAATTTCTTTCACAAATATAAGAACTTCAATTTAAAATAAATGCTATTGCTTTAAATTTCGCTAAATTTCATAGCAACAAGAAAATATTAAATGTTTGATTACTGTAAATAATGACTTTAAAAGACAACAAATTATACTAGGTAGTAATTTAATAAATCAAACATTATGCTTCAGAAAGTGTTTAGAATTTTCTTTAAATGTTTATAACAAGAAAACTGCATGTTTTTGAACAGTAACAAGAGTAAAAGTTTATATTCTGCAATCCACTAAAAATTCACTGTATCTTCTATTAAACTATCTACCTTCGAAACGTAAGCGTCGCAAAAATAGTTTTTTGATACATAAACATTGCACATAAAATATTATCAAATAAAGACGTTTTTGTTAACAGCAATACAATATGGACTATAAATAACTGGACAATTTCTTATAAATAAGAAAAAGATTACTAACCGTCAATTAAATTTATCGCCTTCAAAATAATCGCCAGATAATACGAAGATAATTTAAAAGTACACTCATGTCCATAAATTAAGGATAATTCGGAGTCACGCGGAAATTGAACTCTAAAATAAAATATATCACCTGTAAAATCACTACACACATCTTCAAGAATCATATGCAAATTTCAGGAAGTAACCAGATGACACCGATGGTACGTCACAATGACGAGAGTGTAAGAGGGTGATATATAAGGAATACAGGCAAAGAAGTAAAATTGGATTCGAAAGACCGGGGTTTGATCAGTCGCACGTGAAGGTTGTCTTAGCACGGCTCTCGGTTTTACCAAATCGATTTGATTTTTCTTCTGCGATCAGTTGTTAGCACATAAAAGGTTGCTCACCGGTCTTAAGTGACAAAGAGTAGTAAAAAGGCCTTAGTGCGATTTTACTGATTCTTTGCATCTATTTTTCCCTGATGACTGAACTGGTTTAAGGACTTGATCAACATGTCACTGGTCAAACTAATTTTCGCTCGATATGCGGAATTAACTTCCAAAGAGAAAGATTTACCTTTGACTGAGGATGAAAGAATTGATCTGGATTTTCTATTAAAGCTTCTCCCTAACCTATCGGATAAAGTACGTGCAAGTCTGAACTCTGCACGTGGCTCTGAACTAGGCTTAGCGCAAGTCGGTTCTAACCGGTTAGCGTCTAATGATATTGATTCCCATCATGCTGATGTCTCACAACACGATATGCATTGGACTGCTGTTACCAAAAGTACGAAACGTACTCTGAGCGATACTGAATCGGACCCTCCTGAGGTGCAAAACAAATTTGATGTTCTTGCGAACATAGCTGATGAT